AGAGAGAGAGAGAGGCTTAAGCTGAGTGGCTTTCTCCCTGCCTCTGGTTATCACAAAATAGCATTTTATTTATTTATTTTGTCACAAAGCAGAGGCTGAAAGCAAAGGCTGATACTGCCGGTGTTTGCACTGGTCCGTAAAAGGCCGTCTCTCCCCTCCATCAGTGAATGGAGAAATGGCTTCTAATATATATATATATATATATATATATATATATTTATATATGCCGTTTGGAAGAGTCTTCCGTCTCTAGAAGCAGCGGAAGGAAGGAAGGAAAAAAAAAGGATGCAGCACTTGCAGTGAAGAGGCAAGAAAATGGAGAGAAGAGCGATCGGAAACTGGATCGGATCTTCTGCTTAGCCCAGTTTTCTACCCCTTTTGGCTTAAATCCTTAGCTATTATTTATTATTATTTTTACTGGATGGACGCCCAAGCGACGCAGGTAGAGAGGAGAATGGGGTGTTTAATGGGGGTGCACAGCATCCTGGTTGAAAAGACTGTCCGGAAACAGGCTGACATTAGCGGGCATCGGACATGACGGGATTCCCGAGCATTCGGGGAAGGAAGGAAGGCGGCAAAGGGTATATGTCGTCGCCTTAAAATGGGAGCCAGTGGGAATGGGATTAATAATCCTCCCCAAAGCTCAGGCAGTTTGAAAGAAAAAAAAAAAGCAACCAAATGTGGAAGGGAGAAAGGAGAGGAGCAGGGAAGAACGAGAGAGGAATATTGGCACGGACACAGGGTATTCCGTCAGTAAGCGAGCCCTGGAATTAAGAGGCCGCAGAAGCTACAGTATATATCGTAATCCAGGTGGTCCCCGCTCAAAATAAATAAAAAAATCCAGTGCAGATGATGGAGAAGAGGGAAGGGATTTAGAGAGAGAGAGAGAGGATGGGCTGGGTGGGGTCTCCCTGAGGCCGGGCAAAACCGATCCTAAAACAGAAAGGATCCACTAATTGCGGGAGGCGAGAAGCGAGCCCATTAAAAGGATCCTTAAGCGAGATTATTCTGCCTTTGCAGAAGGACACATTAAGGTGGGTGGGTTGCACCCAGTTTTTGCAACACACGAGCGCAAAAGCCGTCGCCGGAACCCCAGCAGACTATATTTTTCCTCGATTGCTCCTGCTCGACCTTCCCGGGAAGAGGCCTTGAAAAATCATGCAGCTTCGGGGGTCCCTCGGCCCCCCAACAGGACGCGATCCGTGGTGTCTTGCCACGAATCGAGGCATCCTGCGTTAATGTGGAGTTAGAGGAGGGGGTGGCCCTCGGTGGCCGGGGCCAAGGAGGAGGGCCACGGAGGCAACATGCT